GGCAAATTCATATCGACCATAACGGGAGCGCGGCGAATGGCGGCGTATGTTCGGTAACGAGGGACTTGCATTAGTCAGGAATTCGAGTCGCGGCACTCGCCCGTTTCCTCTCCTTCCCATTGCGTCTCGTAGCCCGTTCGCCGAACACGCTGATCCTAACACAAGTTTTCGATAATCCAGCACAAGTTTTCAAAGGATTTCGTAAGAAAACGAAGTGAAACGAGCGAATCCCAAGATGGATTCTTCTATCTCCTGGATCGCTTGTGCAACTCGACGATGACCTTAGACGCGGTCGAAAAGAATATAGAATGTACGCGGGTTCGAACGGGGAAAAATATAAAAGCATATTGAATTCGCGCTCGTATTCGACGAGTGGACTAACATCATCCCGTATACAAAGCATACAATTACATACGAATATATCATTAAGCATTTTATCATTAAACGAATTTTTATTCCTCTCCGAGTTGAAAGATAACGAGAATCGTAATAGCTGAGTAACAGCATCTACGCATTTCGCAGAGAGAGAGAGAGAGAGAGAGAGAGAGAGGATCCGCCTGTTTCGAGACGCAATAGAGAGAGGCGCAATCGAAAAAAATCGCGGGGAACTGAAAAGTCGTCCGGAACGATTACGAATTTTTCATCGCGAATAATAAAGTTGGAGATAACGCGGCTCGAGATCTCCGCGTGACCTATCGACACTGGCGTAGCACGAGCACGAATCGAATGGAACGGAACGGAACGGAACGGAGGGAAGCGAAGGAGGAGGGGCGGAGGACGGTGTTCCACGGAGACGAGGAAAAAACGATCGTGATGCTCAGTGGGAGGATGCTCGTTGGCGGAGAAAGGGATTCGAGTTGGGGCGTCGAGGGATGAGGGGTCGAGGCCGGGAGGGGTGGAAGCAGATGCTCATCGGGCCCCTCCTGTAAATGTAGATTATGCTCATCCTTGATTTGTGTGCGCGCGCGCCCCTACGTGAAATGCACTCGGCCTTTCCTAAGAGCTGGATCGCAGGAAACTCATCTAACCGAATCGTTGTAAAATTTTTCCCGAATTTATTTCTTCCGAAAATTGTCCAAAAATTAAAATGCGCGTATCTTCAGTGAACGCGGTTTTTCGCGTGATTCGTTCGAAATTGTTTAAACCGAACGCGTGCTACTTAGAACGAATATTAGACGAAATTCCAGGTGTTGGAGTCACATTTCGAAGTTACATTTTCGTTACTACAGTTGCGAAACCATTCGTTTGGTATATATCTTACATTGAAGATTTTACGCGAGCTATTGCGATACCAAAGTCGTGTGCGAGGCGCGTGTGCGACCAATAAGCAAGGCGAGAGAAAAGGAGAAAGAGTGAAAGAGAGAGCAAAGGAGAAGGAGGTAGGAAGACGGGAATGAAATAGTGGGAGTGAGAAAGAGAGGAAAAGAGAAAGAGAGAGAGAGAGCAAGAGGCAGGTGCATCACGGTGACACTCCCTCGATAATTCACCTGAGAGAGAAAGAAATAGATACAGAGGGAAAGAGATTGCGCGAGAGAGAGAGAGAGAGAGAGAGAGAGAAGCAAGAAGTAAGAAGGGAAAAAGAGAGAAATTGAAGGGACCGAGAGATGGAAAAAGAAAGAAAGAAAGAGAGCTAAGTCACGAGTGTTGTGTCTGGAGCTCGTTTATGGTTGTTCGCTCAAACTCTCGCTCCGGGGAACGAGAGAGTTTCAGAAATGGCGCTCTTGAGTCAGATCGAATCAGCTGCGTTTCCCTGCGAGAAGGTTGATACTTGTAATACCTGAGAGTCGTACGGATTCATCGCAATCGTACAAGTCTGAAACGAGATCACTCGATGAACGATTCGATTTTCGAATCAAAAAATTAGACGAATGTTTACTCATCGAGGAAATCGAACGTTTATATCTTCTTCTTTTTTTCTTTTTCTTTTTTTCTTTCTCGCGTTTCGTCGATCGACAAAGAATAATCGATACGAAGTATTCACTCTTGAATAAACGCGTCGTAGACGGTAAACGTTTTATCGTATCCACGGTTTCCCGAAACAAACTCCGCTTCAGGTAAATTTACTCGTGAGTCACTGTCTGATAATTTTAGATCGAATCGACCATTAAAATTTACGCTTCTGTTTCCGCCGCATTACGTGCAATTTTGAACCGTTTTCCCGTCTTGACGTCGCGCGAAAAACTTTGGAACACAACAACTCGTTCCATTAACGGATAAGCGTCGAAACGTCGACGTATAAACGTTTCTTCCAAATGGAAGGAAATATCCGTGGAATGTACGCCGAGGTTTTCGCGTATTTTTAGATACCCTTGCACTTGAACGATGCGCCCTGACCCTTCGGATATTGAACAATGAACGAGGACGCGGTACTCGTGCTCCGAATCAAATTGCTCGATTCGAAGAAACGCCAGTCATCCTCTGTGTGTCGACTCGTATACAATGTTTCCGCTCAAAGTGGCGATCGTTGAAATTAACAGGGGCGAAACGAGCGAAGAATTAACTGGATTGTTGGCAATTGGCGGCCGCCTCGACAGAACAATTGACGCTTAACGAACTTGACACCGCGTGCGCTTAAACATCGGAATATAAATGAGTAAGACGACGATCGATCCCAAACAATCGACTCGATATTTTCGAAATTGCTCGGACCGCACTTCAAACATCGTGTCAAACTCGATACGCCGCCCGACCAACGAATCGTATATCTAATCTCCGATTAAACATGAGCTCGTTGCGTGTGTCGACATATCAATCTAACGCGACTCGTCTAATGAGAAAGAAAAAAACGTTTAATTCGGTTGGTCGAGTTTGTTATACTACTTTGATGACACGAAACATTTCCTATCGACTAGGGAGAACATTTCGTCGAGGCAACCATGCACCTCCAGCGTTTTCCAAACAGCATCCGCAAGCTAAGCAAACATCCGAGACACGGTCGACCAACTATCCCGAGGGACAAGCAAACAGTTGACTTTACAATTCCCTTTGACCAACAATTTTCGAATGATTTCGCTCGCATCAAGATTAAACGACACTGTTATCCTTATTAAACTTATCTCTAATAAATCAAAGCTCAACAATGCCAAAATCTCGATGTTAGATAATATTGTTTTTTTTCGAAAACAGATAAGAATATTCGATCACGAGCGTACTCGTAAAAAAACGAACACGTGCTGAAATTGACGTTGCAATTGTCGAGATAAAAATGAGAACCCCTTTAACCACAATTCGTGCAACGGTCACGACGCAACAGCTCTGCGAAAGAAACTGTTTCTTTCTCAGGCAGGTGTATGAAAAAAGAAAAATAAAAAAAAAAAAACGTACTAGTCGCTATCCACGACAGACTTTCCAAAGCTGTTTGCCGAAGAAAAGATTTCGATTTATAGTTTCTTACATTACATCCGAACGATTAACCTCTAACGATTTCAACGGCGTCGTGAGGACACGTGGTACATGATTGAGGGCTTGCCCAATCATAGATCAACTTTTGAAAATGAAATAGAATGATAAATATCATTATATGAAATAAATAATAATCATCCAATGATCTTAAAATCACTCATCACAGATGTATCGCAAACATCTCACGACAATATTCGTATCGACTGAACGTTGTTGCACATGACAGCGGATGAAAGAGCGACTGAGATAGTCTCTGATGTCTAGGTTATGTCGACGATATTCCTCGACTCCTAGTCATTTGAATAGCATTTTTTTTTTTTTTTTTGTGTACGAGTATAAATGAACGAAAAAACGATAATAACGATGCAAATGAAGAAACACAATGAAGAACAGATCTCTTTCAGAGGGTTAGTTCACTACGACGGGGCAGCACTGTCCAAAGCACTGACAAGCAAACCAAAACACAGAACGGAGCGAGTCAGCCGAGAGAATCGTCCGGCACGGATCCTTGACGTAATCGGGGCTTCAATCGACCAAAACACAACACTCAAATTTACCTAATCCTTCGAGGACTAACTCGTTGACACAAGAAAACCACTAAAGCGACGCTTGTTGGATTTAATACATAGTGCTTTCGCAGAAGACACTAGACACAAGAGACTCCGCCGCTCTATTTTCACACGGCACACGCACAGCACAAGATTTTCGCGATTTTGACTCGAAAGAGTATTTGTTTCGTAACTGACGACACTCACCGGGATGCTTATTGGCGATCTTATTGAAGCAGTTTTGAAAGACCTCGTAGAGATGCATCGGCTCGTCGTCGCTGGCCGCCATGTTTTCACGAGACGAGAAAACGAGTGGATGTCCGTGGTCGAGGCGAGTGGGCACGGTTTCGCGGTGTGGCCGCGCGTGGAGCCACCCTCCTCCAGAAACGGTCACGCACACTACTGAACCACACCACCTCACCGATGCGGCTCTTATAGTCCATCAGTGGCGCCACTCTTCCTTACGTTGTCGCTACGCGGCTACTTTGAATATCATATTTTCCTCATTCGATACCTTCGCAAAAATGTGTTTATCGTTAGATCAAATGGATGAGTAAAATAATATTATTATTTTATTAATAATTAGTAATTCAATAATTAGTTCTTTTCATCAGTTATAAGAACAAGTGATTTACTTGTAATAAAAAATAAATATTTTCAATTATAAATTTAAAGATTATAATCCATAAAAACCTAAGGAATTCGGGCATTTTGTTACAGTGAAGATTTTTATTCATATGTTGCGAGTACATAATAGATTTGACGTATGAAACGTATAACTAAATTTATTATTATATTGTTATTGTTATTATTCTATATTTCTTTATATTTTCACGTTTCGATATAATGTTATTTGCATGTTTATATACATAAATTTATTTCTATTTTGCATTGTTAATCGATATTGAAAATCCTGATATATACAATAAATAAAATAAATTTTAATGTCATGATTATAGATGCGCGTACTTTTTACGACCTACGAGAGATACGATAATGAAATCGCGTAATTTTCGACGTATCGAATTTTAGAAACGTCATGTTGTATTTTTAAACTCCAGCAAAATCGGAATTTTGTGGAATCGGATGAGATATGTCCTCGTAATCCTGTCGACCAAAGCCTAGAATAGAAAAACGTTCATGAACGTCTGTTCCCACCCCCACTAAAAATTATAAATCATATGTACAAAAGACGATAAAACAACATAAAACATTTCAAGATGGTTGTACATAAAATTCGTGCATTACAAACGATCTATCCTCCTCATGACAAGCATTATGATGAAAAATAAATATTCCTATATCAATAATTTAAAACAATTACTATGCAATCTAATATGCATACAAATGAAAAATGATTTCATGCACCTACTTAAAGCATAATTTTGAAGAAGCAATGCAGGCCTATAAAACATCTGTATCCAATGTATTACTGACCCATTGCAGGATTTGTAGTGAACATTGTGGCTAAACATCCACCTCTTGCTTGGCCTATTCGTAGAAGATATATGCTTGTGATGATGCGAGCAATCATGTTTAAGATCATAATCGCTGCACTAAACTTCTCAGATGCATCTACAAGTTTGTGCGATCAGATAGATACATCTTCTGCATAGGAAGGTTAATCGACAATATAATTTGGAAAATTTTAGGTTAGTTTTCAATTCAATAGTAGATAGCACTAACTTACACGTTGTTGGAAAATAGACTGCTAATGTTACTACATCAAAAAATATGGAAAGTACATTTATAAAAAGTGCCTAAAATATATAATTCTATTACAAACATAACAATTAAATTAAAATTATATATAGAACATATTTCAATAACCGAATGCTTACAAATTGTAGAGGTTCATCTGATTCAATATTGTGAATAGCCCACAATAAGCAGACGAAGAAAAGGAAATTGTAAAACATTACAGATTTTGGACACCAATGTCCCTGAATGCCCCTAAAAATTTATTGTTTAACTATATAGTACAAATATGACATTCTATACAAGAGTGATTCACAATATGTCTATACTTCTAAAATTATGCAGACTAATATACAATAAACAAAAAATTTATTCTTACCATGTTACTAGGACTAAATGAATTGCAAATATCACCTGAAAAAATCCGACAAGATCATAAAAAATGATCTTAAAATGCAAAGTAAGTGGATATTTAAGTAATGATGTTTTGAAAATATATTTGCAATATTGCAAAAATTGTCTTGATACGAGAAATTTGTCAAATAAATTATTCTTTCATTGCCGTGCCCTTGTATAATTATATTTTATTCATTGGGAAACATGCATAGTCGAATGAACTACGCAAAAGTCTTCTTGAAATATAATTATTATTTTAGAGAATTATCTGATATCTGTTCTCATAATTGAACATTGAGATATTTGATGGAAATATTCACCATGGAATCGCGAGAGCCAAAAGCGATAAGCAAAAGGAAGATATAACAAATATATGACGTGCAACGAATTATATTTTAAATAAAAAAAAAAAAAGCAAATAATTCTAGAATAGAATATTCTAAGAAAATGAGCAAAGTAACGAAGGTCCAATGAAATTTACCTTTAAGGGATAATGGGATATACTAGACATATCCGGCATTTTTTAACTTTCGAAATTTTTTTCGAACTTGACCTGAAACTATTTCGACTTCTTTGCTTTTACGATAATTATTGTTAATTTATTTGTTAATCACGCCTAATGGTTCACAAATGTATCAAAATATATTTTTTAAACTTTTTCTTTCGTTCAAACGTTTCATCAATACAACACAAAACGAATACTGCGTATAATACGTCTACAGTGACGTCTATGAAAAGTATATGATTCAGCGCCATCTATGAAGCAAGAGACGAACAAATTATTCGAATTTATTAAGAATTTAACCTTTTTATTTTATATTTCGATATATTTATAATCGAATTGAAAAAAAATAAAAAATTTAATTTTAACGATTAACAAAAATTTTGTTTTCCTTTATATTTTATTTTTATTAAAAACAAATAGAGAAATTTAATAATTTTATTTAAATTCTAAAACATATGTTGATTGACCTTTTGTGATCTGAAAAAAATTATCTGCTTACAGTTCTTCGATAAATGCTATGCTGCTATTATAGATTACTGTCGTCATATACTAAACACTAGTTGTTGATCTGTGAATAACTTCATTGAGATGATAGTGTCCATAAAAATAGGGAAATAATATATGTTATAATATCGTATAACGTGTTCAAAGTATAGTAAATATAGTACTTACGTGTATATTGTGATTCATAAAATTTGAACGAAAGAAGAATCGTTAGAAAAATATGTTAAGTAAAGGAAATCTTTTTATAAAGAATTTAGGTTGTACCATAAGAACATTTCACAATAAAGCAATTGTTATTGGTAATGTACAAAATACTAAATCTTCGACATATCAGGTTAGAACGATAATATATATACATATATACATATATTCATTTCATTTATAAACAAAACATCGTAAGATTAATTCATTAAATCTTTCGTTTTCGATTAATATTACGTTATTGATCTAAAATAAGTTCATGAAATGTTGCGTAATATTAATATTATGATCTTTTTCTTCTTTATCTAAACAAAATAAAATGAAATTGTTCATTTAAATGCATTAAAGCGTAATACGCCTGCGCAATTAACACACAATGATTAAGCGCGTATTATAAATACTGTATGTTACGCATGTTCTTTTTCGATAAAAAAAAAAATGATGAAATCGATTAAAAATAGTGGGAACGATATTTGGAATAAAATACTAAAAAATAAAATACTAATAATAATAAGAATAAGAATTATAAATAGAAACGAATAATGGAGATTAAACATGTAAACAAATTTTTAGGAAAATTACGTTCAAATGGAATGTGCGGTGAATAGGTTAAAAAATACAGTTCAAAGAATTGTAGAAGGTGGAAAACAAAAGGCGAAAGAGAGGCATATGAAAAAAGGAAAGCTTCTAGCACGAGAACGAATTAATACGCTTCTCGATCCGACGTCTCCTTTCCTCGAATTTTCTCAATTAGCTGGTTACGAATTATACGATAAAGAGGAAGTACCAGCCGGTGGAATTATTACCGGTATCGGCAGGATAGAAGGGTAAATACCATTTGAATAAAAAAATGATTCGATAAAATATATTTTTCTTTTTAAAGAGTACGTTTCGTTTCGAATCAGGACCGAATGCGTAATAATCGCAAATGATGCAACTGTAAAAGGAGGTTCTTATTATCCAATAACGGTAAAGAAGCAATTAAGGGCTCAAGAAATTGCGGAGGAGAATCATTTACCTTGTATATATTTAGTAGATAGCGGTGGTGCCAATTTAACTAAACAAGCTGAAATATTTGCGGATAAAATGCATTTCGGTAGAACTTTCTTTAATCAGGCAAGAATGAGCGCAAAAGGAATCGCGCAGATCGCAGTAGTAATGGGAAGTTGCACAGCAGGTGTCCGATTCTCTTTGATTCATTCTATTTATCCCTTTTATTGTAGATACTTTTATATCAATTATTCACATCGTCATTTAATCAATTTATACAGGTGGTGCATACGTACCGTCAATGGCTGACGAAAATGTAATCGTCGGCAAGGAGGGAACCATTTTTTTGGCTGGTCCACCTTTAGTAAAAGCTTCGACGGGCGAAGAAGTCACTGCGGACGAATTGGGTGGCGCGGATCTTCATTGTCGGTAATTGACAAAATACATTTTTAACACGTAATTTCTTTCACAATTTGAAAAGATTGGAAAATTGATTTTCAGGATTTCCGGAGTTACCGATCATTACGCTGTAGATGATATTCACGCCTTGTTCTTAACCCGGCAAATTGTAAAGGATTTAAACAGGCAAAGATCAATGCACGTTAACGTGAATAAAAATGTGGATATACCGTTACATCCTGTCGACGAAATTTATGGAATAGTCGGGTTGAATTGGAAGCAATCGTACGACGTGAGAGAAGTGATCGCAAGGATCGTCGACGGATCAAAGTTTCGCGAGTTCAAAGCACAATATGGGGAAACATTGGTCACAGGATTCGCGAATATTTATGGTTACCCCGTGGGAATAATCGCGAATAACGGTATACTGTTCTCGCAAGGCGCGTTAAAGGGTGCACATTTCGTGCAAATCTGCGCACAAAGGAAAATACCACTTATCTTTTTGCAGAATATTACAGGTATATAATATCTCTCGTTGTATAAAATTGCAGCTTTCCCACGAACGATACGTACAGCGATTTGTAAAAAAATTGCAGGATTTATGGTGGGCAAAGATGCCGAAGCCGGAGGCATTGCCAAAAACGGTGCAAAAATGGTGACTGCCGTTGCTTGTGCTCAAGTACCTAAAATTACAGTGGTGATCGGTGGCTCGTTCGGTGCAGGAAATTACGGTATGTAACGTTACACTTAATAAATCACTGTTCGAACTTGCGTTCAATTTGATTAAAATTTAACATAGGTATGTGCGGTCGAGCTTATTCACCGAGGTTTCTCTATACTTGGCCGAATGCCAGAATATCCGTGATGGGTGGAGAACAGGCTGCCAATGTACTGATTCAAATTAACAAGGATCAACGTAAACGCGAGGGGAAGCAGGTAATGGCAGATTACGATCTCGAACTCGATTTCATTTAAACCGGTACATATAAATTTTCACTCTTCATAGTGGAGCGTGGAAGAGGAGGAAAAATTGAGGGAACCAATATTGAGAAAATTCGAAGAGGAGAGCAATCCATATTATTGTAGCGCTAGGTAGAATCTACGCATTATTATTAGACTAAGAGACTAGGAAAAGTTATCCGCGTAAATTATTTTTTTAGGCTTTGGGACGACGGTGTGATCGATCCCGTTGACACTAGGGTAGTATTGGGTCTCAGTTTGTCAGCGGCGCTCAACGCACCTATACCGGAAACTAAATTTGGAATTTTCCGAATGTAACAACGAATATCACAATCTACAAATCCGTGGCCTGAAATTATGAAAGCGCGATCCAATGTTCGTTCCGCGACTATTCCGACGTTCTGTCCGATATTTTACGCCAAAGACGTGTAAATATATATTTTTTTATACATTATTCTATCACTTATACACTATTATTGAACATTCCAAAAATATATATATATAGATACCTTTGTATTGTTTCTATGCGTACTTTTATTAATCTTCTCTTTTCTTCCTTTATGCGACTAAAAAATAAAGACGCTTCTCTGAATGAAACGCTTACGCGCGTTTCCACTCGTCCTCTTACGGTATTATTTTTTTTTACATATTCGCGTATATTCCCTTATAATTATATTGAGATTACAGCAGCAATTAATTCACTTATAATTGTCTAAAAGTTAAGTCACATCACGTTGTTACAGCTCGTCGCGCGACTAGGTCATCCGACATTCTCCGCTCGCAAAGGCCAATTTTTTTTCTGGCAGTATAGCGGCTGTATTATTTTATTCGGGGTTATTCGCAGGGGAACACAGCTGAAGGGGAACGCGTGGAACAATGCGTGGATTAATAAAAGGAGTGAAAAAAATTTGGCGGTCGCAGAGCGGAGAAATTTCTTGAGCACGTGCTAATTAATCCAAAATATTAGCTCATCATTTCCCCCATTTTTTTTTTTTTTTTTTTTTTTTTACGATAACATTTTTCTACGATCTTTATTAATTCGTTCCATTAACATTATCCGAGATATCGTCCATTAATAATAAGCTTAGCTTAATTTCGGACAATGTTATCAGAAAGACGATGCTTGATCGTAAAACTCGATCCGACGTCGAACAAAATGGATGATGCATCGATCAATGCTTGCTTTTCCTACGTGGAAAGGGAAAAAAATTATACTAACATCCGGCAAAGAAATTCGATCTTCATCGATTTCCACTATGCGCTCGAATCCTGGCCGGTTCTCGATTCTACTCTCTATTTACAATCAAAAAAAAAAAAAAAACGATCGTTCACGGATCGTCCCCCTTCATGAACCTTTTTATAAAAATTTGCAGAGGCAGAGAAGAAGGAGAATAAAGGACAAGATCTTCGTCGTCTCGCAGCAGGCGGAGGAACCGTTCATCTCATTCGTTTCTGTAACCTTGTACTTGAACTGTTCTTTCACTTCTTGCGCTATGAAAGCCCTCTCCTCCGTCCTAATCGTCGTTGGACCAGCTTGATCTCTCACCTCTTCCGCGATCACCGCCCTCGCTTTTGTCCTGTTCTTCCCTCTTCTCACGTACAATTCGGACAGAGCTGGAGATCGAGGGGAAAAAATTTCAAGATTAAACAAGATTTCGTAACAAAATTTTTGGAAAAGGAAGAAGAAGGAAATCCTACTTTTGTCGATCACCGCGTCCTCCTCGAAGTCAACTTTAATAAGAGCGGACATGGTCACCTCGAACAGCTTGTTCTTGTCGGTATTCGAGACATCGATGGCCCTCCTCCTCCTCCCGAATCCAATTTGCCCGTTGCTGCACTCGATCTGAAACAACGTAACCGCGTAAATGTCGGCGTAACGAATATCCGGTGGACGAATATTTGAACAAGCTTCGCTTAACGACGCCACGCGTGTAACGCGCCAACATCGACATACCCCTTGGCACTTGTCCAAGCAGACGTTAACAGTGCCACGGAACTGGACGTAAGTGCTTTCTGGAAACTTGAAAGCGCGGAATTTCGCCGTCAAAAAGTCACCGTCCACAGTGTTGAAATTCTCGAACAGATACGGATCCACGGAGCAACTGGCGGCACAAACAATAATTCTTATTATTCCCTATGTTCCCGATCAAAAATAATCATCATTCAGCCACGATACATATTATCTATGAGAATAAACGCTCACCCGTTGATGATAATAGTCTCCTCCTGCGACTTGGTATCCGTGACAAGCATGTAGGTGACCAACAATCCGTAAACAGGCGCGGATCCGTTGTCCAAGAAGATCTCCATCTGCAAAGGCGTGCCTGGGCTAACGTTCAGCTCTCCGGTGACCAGATTTCCGCCTTGCCTCACACCGACCCCCAATATCGGTACGGGCGCCGATTCGGAGATCTCCCCTCTGATGTCGATCACGCTGCGAGATAAAAGTGTGAGCGAGTTAAATATCAAAGGAATTCGTCGCGAGGCGCGAAAGGTCGTTCGATCGTTCGAAATAAATTGTCGAGAATAACGCCATCTGGCAGATGGATGCCTATCGAACCATCGAGAGGGACACGATGTTGTTCGAGTGTAATTTCCGGGGGGAAAAAAGTGGCGACAAATATTCAATGGTCGGCCGAGGGAAAATTAACCTGTTTGCAGAAGAACGGGAACGGCAAGAACTGTATTGCCTGTGCTACGACCTGGGCCACTTTCGACAGTCATCGAATCTTACCTCGATCGACCTGAATCGTCTTGAAACCGTTTCTGCCGACTCATCCGTCGTTTCCGTGAAACTACGTTCAACTACGATTCTCTCTGTACGAGAACGAGCCACGAACGGTACCACTAAAGACGGACGACGATAATGATGATGATGATGATGATGATGACGAAAAAAAAAAAAAAGAAAGAAGAGAAAAGAAAGAAAAAAAGTAGGGACGACGATAAAGTTTCCGTTCGAACAACGCGTTTGTTCGTTCGTTCGTCGTTTCGATCGTTTTTATCGTAATTGATTGCAACTCGCATCTGTTCGACGGATCGAATCGAAGAGAGAGCAAATATCCGAAGAATTTTCGAGTTCGTCGTTCGATCATCCCTCGATTCGCGGGCGGCCGAATGTGATCGCATCCAATCGAGCAAGCACGCAATTCCATCGACTTCTCGGAAGAAGAAACAGTTATCAAGATCGAGAAAGAATTTTCCCGCGTGTGCGTGGCTCGACGCCATCCGGGGATCGAAGAGGCGAGATAACCACGTGATAATTCAACAATAAGAATTTTACGGCTTCCTGGTTGGGAAGGCGACATCGACAATCCTTCTCTTGTCCCCCCTCCTCCCCCCTATCCCTCTATCCATCCTTCGTACGATTCGCGCAATACCGAGCTACGATCGATTAGTGTCAATAAATTAGCGGCGGGAATGGGAGAAAAATTGCGCGTGTACGGCTGACAGGCTGCCGAGGATAGTAGTGTGGAGCAGGGAAAGAATGTCAACCGGCTAAGTCAGAACTTTCATCCGCGGAAAATAGTTGGAAGAAATCCCTTTTGATGTACGTCTAACTTGTAGCTTGGTTAAAATTTATTTCTCAGCCATCTGTTCGTTTCAGACTGAGATAAAGATAGAAAAATTGTAAATACGCGAAATGAATTTGATAATTGAAATTCGTTATGGAAGCTGGAAGAAAAAATTCATCGATTCAGCGAATATTTGATTTGTTATAAGATCTCGTTTAAAAAAAAAAATTGTAACCTCGAAACCGTTTCGAAGAGATCGTTAGCAACTCTTAAACGACGCATTTACGTATCGCCGGGTGAATAAAAAAAGATTCTCGTTGGATGCACGCCCGCTAGAAACGTTTTACGCGAGGAGAACGCGACCGGAGAATACGAATGGTTCGCAAAGTGAGTTTTATCGAGCGAGCGGGAGGAGGGAGAAGGAGCAGGAGGAGGAGGTGGAGGAGGAGGAAGAGGAGAGAATGGGGAAGGGGGAAACTCTGTGACGCGATGTATACGAGGCTAAAATTACATTTCAGGTTTTCCAGCACCTGTGCGTATAGCCTCGACAAATAAATAGAACGTGGAATCATGAATCAAACTGGTGACCAGCGACAAAACGTTCATCTTCGTTTCAGATCGCTCGTTTGCATCGGAGAAAGTCGATATTGATTTTATTCGCGACGCCGCTCTTCCCTCTTTCTAATTCGAAATCGGAGGTTTCGATACGGCGTATCAGTCGAGCGAAGAAAATATAATTTAATTTTAATCTCGTGGAAAGCTTGTCTTGTTTCGATTAAAGTACGCAATGTTTTGCTTGATAATAAGCGCGAAGCGGGATAATTAACACGCAGATTAAACTCATCTCGTTTTATTCATTGCTTACATAAATCGAGTCTGTTTTAATTAATCAAGTTTACACAGCCACCGTTGTACCGTTGAAATTGATTACGCGATCGTTGCTTGGAATAAAATTATTTCACCGCGCTCGTTCGCTTGGAAAGTTTTGATCGTTAGAAAAAAAAAAATCATCGAAAAGCGTAACGTTTCCAACGAGTACATAGATAATGGATGAAAGTTTCAAAGATAATTTTAGCCGTTATTTCTTGGCGCTAGTCGGAACGTATTAGAGCTGGGTTGTCCTTGATGATGAGAATACGTGAGCGTTGCGCGGAGTGGACGATCGTTCGAGCACGTTGAACAGCTGTTGGAATCGCGATGGCGAATAACGCGAAATCGAAACAGTGGTTCTCGACTCTGCGAGAACTATTTATCGGTCTACCGAGGGAAGTGAATCGAGGGAAAAGTGCGAACAAATAAAAAAAAAGAGACGATAAGACGGAAACTGAATATTAAGGTAAAATATGAACTCACTCGGGTTCCTGGAAACCTGCTGGTAGAACGCTCCTGCGAACCACGGTGTGATTGGCTGCGATCGAGATTCCAGGTTTCACAACGACCTCGGTGATAACACACTTTACGGTGAACGTATGCTTGCTGGAATCCGCGGGCTCCTCCACTATTATCCGATGAAAGTACACCTTCTGACCCTGTATATCATACGTATATCTATAATTTTGCTCGAATCCATGGGATTCCTTCCCATCGATCGAAACAATAACGAAGGCCGAGCCGAGGTAACAACTTATCGCTATTCGATTTTCATTCTTCTCTTTTCTATCCAGAGATTCGATGCTTTTTCTTTACACATTCTCTCTCTCTCTCTCTCTCTCTCTCTGTGCTTTTCCAATTTCAAACAAGGATACGAGGATCGATCGATTTCTTTCATTTCCATTTTCAACTCGATTCAATTCGATTCTCGACAAAATCGTTAGACTTAGTTAATTAGAAATTATTCAAACATTTAACTTATTCAAGAAACGATAGTTTTATTCGTTGATCGTAATTATGGCTTACCGTGACTTTGTTAACGACCCTTGTGATGCCGCATCGCAACATGTCCTCTTCTAGGAGAGGTAATCGGAACGTGGCGACACCGTTGCTAAGCCGAGGTTTGCAAGCTTCGTCTGCAAGAGGAAGATACGTTCCACCGTGTAAAATACGGCACATGTACCACCGCTTCTCGCTTCTATATCTCACGGCTTCGCGTCGACCAACGCTGCGTATCTCGCGAATACACGAAACGAATCGATCTTTACCTGGAAAGTCCTTCATTTGTTGCAGGTATATCCTCGCTCGTGGGCTGCTCCTTACGATGTCGACTTCCATCCACTGCTCGGAACATCTCACTTTGCTCTGCACTGGAAATCGGAAACGAAAATTCAACGCCCCGTCAAAATGTCGATCAAACGCCTGTCCTCGAATCGATCGAACGTATACTCGGACGCGTCGTTTTCAACTAAAAAGAGAAAGGGAAGGGGAAGGCAGTTGGAAGAAGGGATAGGCAGAATCTGGATGCGGGGAAAAAGAGAGGTACGACGCGGCCGCAACTAACTTACAGTATACCACGGTAATTGCCCCATAAAGTCGTAAACGTCTCTCGACCTTGAAATGCGAGCAACCGACATCGCGCGCTCGAGAAACACCACCGCGCACCACCGATGCGCATCCCCCGAACCTCGCCTCTGTTCCTTTCGCGGAACAACTATAGATACTTTCACCGTTCGCGAGTAACGTAAAAACCCGTATACACCACCGATTTCACATTATCCCCCCGAGAAAAACCTTTCATCCGGTTATGAGAAACGAAATTGCTTCCTCCCCGGATAATTGAATTTTCAACCATATATTATCGTACCACAAACAAACGCATTACAACCTTACTTTCCCATGTTCGATCGCGTTTGACCGCTAAATCGATCAAGACAGATTTTTCGTTAAGATGAACGGAAGAATTTTCGATAATCTCGCGCTCGATATGCAATTCTGGCTCGTTGATCTCGAAAACGAACGCTCGATGATCAGTTACGCGAATAGATATGCGTAATAATTCGCGATGAAATGTATCGTGACACGCGGACAACACGCTATTAAAGAATGCAGCAATGAAGAATTTAGCAAATTCTTATTATGACGATTCGATAACTAGGCGTCACCAATCTTTCATTTCTATCGCGATTCGAGTAGTAGGAATTTCCAACGAACGAGAACATCGCCTCTGAATTCTGGCGCGATTCGAAACATTGGAACGAGCTCACCCGCACAAATTATTCGTGTCCCCGCGATTGTCCACGGTTTCCGTGCATCCATCAGGTTGCGATTAACGCGCAAATTACGTGACTGCACGGTGTGTCACTTTCAAATAGCCCCAGGGTTGGTGGTCTTTTCCATTAGCGAGTTTAAAGCGGTTCCCTGCAGCCGGTGCAACCACCTGTGCGATCGTCGAGCAGCCATCTCTCGACAAAGGTCCGTGACCTTATACTTTTTCTTTCTTCTTTCGTTCCTTCCTCCTCCCTCCTTTTTCTCATTTTCGATCTCCGCTACATTTTCGCTTTATCTCCTTCCCTCCTCTCTTCTCCTCTTTCTTCGCGTCTTCTCTTTTTGATCGGTCTAACTACTTTTCTGTTGCTCATCGAGATTTGTCATTTGCTCAACATTTCCTGTTTTTCTCAAAATCTCCGTCGTACTTCTTTCTTTTCCAGAACTTGGTTCGATTCGACCCATTGTCTCGGTACGTATATATTTATATATGCCATAGATAGGGATCCGGTTTCCATTAACCGGTAATCGTTTCGCCCGAAACGCCGCCGGAATTCTCCGTTCCGGGAACGGATTCTCGACGCCGTTACAAGGACTACGTGACCCTTGTACCTTTCCCCTTTATTATTATTCTTCCCGAGTTCCCTTCCTTCCTTCCTTTATCTCTTCCTTCCTCCCTTTAAACCAACGCATATCTCTCGATTCCCTTTCTCCTTTATTATTCTCTTTCTTTCTTTTTCCTTTTTTTTTTCTTTCTACCTTTTTAACTCGTACTTCCTCTCCTCCGCCTCATCTTCCTCGCACCTTTCTCGTGATTACGATCTCGGGAAAGTTTACAATGCGAAGTTTCCAAAGCCCGACCTTTGCCCTCCCACGGTTTCCCTACGACTTACTACGACCTCGACCATTTATTTTATCCAACCTGCTGCTCGCTAATTGCCTCGCGATCTCTCCTTCCTCTCTCGATTCGTTCAATATCATTTAGATATTATCGTTTTCCGAGGCTCGACAGCCGGTTTCTCGCTCTCGAAAAAATGAATCGAAATACTCGCCGATACTTTTCCCTGCGTTTCGCGTGGCTCGCATCTCTCGTGCCAAGCTCCTCCATACTCTTCCGATCTCCGTCTCTCTCGTACGCGCCTACCTCCCCATCGAGCCCTTTCTCACACCGAGGCAAAGTTGAGCGAGAAGAAATTGATGTAAATTACGGGAAACGTAGGGATCCACGGAATTACAATAATCTCGGCCTGTTGTATGACCTCGGTGTTAAGGGGAACGAGGCGTAATTACGCGTCATCGCGCCGTAACGCCACGATCACTTGGCGTGGCAAGGATCAAGGACAACTGTATCCTAGCGGATACAGATAGATGGATAGACGTGATCGGCGACGCGCACAAAATTGATTCGTATCGCTTGTGCAACCCTCCCTTCTTCCTCGTCGATGGAACACCACAGGGTAGAACGTAATCGCCGTTTGTCCGCGAACAGTATCTGAATAATTTATAGGGAAGGGAGCCGCTGCTGTACGCAGCCAACGTATTTTCAGAATCGAGATCCGTGTGCAATTTGAGAGGCGAGGCGATTCCTCGAGGAATCTCTCTCGAGCGAGGTCTCCCATTCGACCCCGTTTCTCCACGTAAGGCAGCGACGACGGCGACGCGAAAGGGGTTGGAAATCCGGTGCGCGCCGGGTGTGATTAACATTCACGTCCACGCCGTGTTAACTGTACAATCGAGAACCGAGAAAGAGTGGGCAGAGTGTTGGTGAAATACTCGGAAATATCTGCGTTTAAACTGGTCGATCGAACGGGACGAGGGGAAGAAATATGGGAAAGAATCGAATAGGAGGAGCTACGTAGGTGTTCTATAGTCGTGTGTGTGTGTGTGTGTGTAAGTGTGCGTGTACTGTCAAGTTTTTATCTTTGCTTTGACGTCGTGTCTAAAATTGTACGAGAAACGAGGAGAAGAAAAAAAAAAAAAAAGAAAACTGCACACGATAATCCAATCCTCTCTGTATCGCGCGAGTTATAGTATATCGAGTTATGTATTTTTTTGTAATTACAATCGTTTTTATCCGAAGGAATCGAGAATCGATCGATAGCTTCGCCTTTCCGCATCGTGTTGGAATAACAACCGTCGTTGTAGCGTTGAAATTGCTTCGGACGATGGGAGAGGATGGAGGATGCATATCGAGAGAGAGAGAGAGAGAGAGAGAAATCACTTTTGAGAACGTCATTACTAAAGTTTCCAACGACAAAGACCACTGCTTTGGTTGCAAACCGAACTTTGATACGATACCGAGCAAAAGATACCATCATTTTCGAGATCGAGATTCCTTCGAGTTTTTTACGACTTCCGGCTGCAAGCATCGCCGGCAAATCGATTTGCTTTCCAAGTTACGACAAGCGGTTGCCTGTTGTACGAGTGTCGAGAACATATTATAATATCGGATATTGTTGGAGAAATCTTAGGCGCGATCTCGTTATATAACGTTGTTGTAACGTTAAACAAATTAAAATACGTGCGATAATTAATCGTTTTTTTAAATTTTCAAAGGAATCAGCTTCAATAACTCGGTTAAAAAAAAAAAAAAGAAAAGGAAAAGAAGAAAAGAAAGGACGATTAATTAAACGCGGACGCCCACGTTTTTGCCAGTTATGCAAATAAATTCGCCACACGCGTCTCACCAACGAGCGACAGCGCAACCTCGGTAATTCAAACGTCACCACTGTACATAATTCAATTACTCCGCGTTGTCGTTCCCCGATCTCCACGCGCCGACGCATGCTTATTTTCCCCTTTAACGATATAACAGCCGTTGCTGCGCACCACCACTTCGTATCGCCGCTCGCTCGAGAGAAAGAAAGAAAGAAAGAAAGAAAAGAAAAGAAGAGAAGAGAAAAGAGAGAGAGAAAAAATTACCACCGCGATCCCCAGCGTCCAAGGATCCGCTTAAGGATTAACCGTTGCGAATGATCGCAGCTGCCATCTCTCCTCTTCCATTTCTTTCCTTCTCTATTTTTCTCTCCCTCTTTCTCTCTCTCTCTCTCTTATATATCCTCCTCAACCGAGATAAGAGTCGGATCCCGATACGAGGCCGGGCGAAGAGTCGGCGGTGTTGCCGGTGGCGTTGCGCGGGGCGCGTGCAACAGGATCGAAAGTTGTAAGTAATCGATGGCGAAGGGGGCAGGCTGGCTGGCCGCGAGAGTGATAAAAGAGGAGCGGGGCTCGGTAACGGTGATTTCATTCCGGTTCCTTTGGCCACGCCGCTTTCCACGTCGCATCGGCCCGATTACAACCGTTGCCAGCGGTAAATCACCGATCGTCGCGGTGGATCGTTAAGCGGTGGATTCGATTGGGTAGGAAAACGATCCGTATCTCTTTCCCTTCCTCCTTATCTTCCTTGTATCCGATCGAGATCTAAATTTCTCGTCCCTTTCGATCGATAGAGCGAATGAAAATATCAGACCGGTTTCGAGAAGCTGACCGATTCCCTCTTAATTCGAAGATGGTGACGATTCCTCCGCTATCCTCTCGATTATATGCGATATAATCGCTCGTATTCGAATATATATATATATATATCACTGTACTCGCTCCGCGCGAAAGCGGTCGATCGTGCATCGCGTACCAAGCTCGGCCATTTTACGAACGCGAACAACACGGAGAAATCGGAGAGGAGAGGAATGGAATACAGGCGAGAGAGTCATTTTATCATCGAAATCCTTCGAAAATATACTCGCATCGATGGTTTTCCATTGGAAGGGGCGACAATTCTGGAGAGGGGAGGAGGAGCGGAGGTGTCGATTTCCTTCCACGATTCGAAGAAATAATCGTGGAGGAGCGGGCAGGATGCAAATGAGCCGCGATAGAGCCGGTCACGAAACGCACAGGGACACAGGGAGCAAGGTGCATCGCGCGCGCGCGCGCGCGCGCCAAATGCAGAATGAATAATTTATCATGGCGGCGATCCGTGCACAAATTATGCGCGTAGCCGGCGATTACCGTTATGCACATTTTCGGTAATCTCGACAACGATTAAATCGACGGCCACCGTCTTCTCGACCGCTGCCTGCGAACACCGCTGCCGCTCGATTATTCG